CCCTGTCATACAGCAGGCAGAGAGGAGATTTAGTTACAATGTTTAAAATTTTAAATAATGACTACGAACCTGACCTATTCTCTCTTTCCCTTCCCACCAGGTCGGAACACCTAAGAGGAAATAGCAGGAGAGTTCAGAAGCCAAGAAGAAACCATATTACTGTGGAGTACTGGTTATCACACCGAGTCACACACTCCTGGAATCGGCTCTCAAAAGAGGTGGTATATGCAGCGTTTGGACAAGCAAAGAAATTTACTAGAAAGAGACTGACATAGGCTCTAAGCCCTCTATCCTCAATCAACAAATCTGGATCGGAAATCTAAAGTGGTGGGGGTGTACATCAAGTTAGTCAATAATCAGTTACAGATTATAGGGATAGAAGGCTCTTGTTGCCTATGTTAATCCTCGCGATTGATATCTCTGCAGAGATCCAGTTTCTCTTTGAAATCGTTCACCAGTGGAGCTGTTACTATGGAATCAAGTAAGGAGTTCCAGTCGTTGACCACTCTGTGAGAGAATCTAAACTCCAACCGTATTTTATTCGACCTCGGTTTGAGCACCTTCTTCTGGTGACCCCGTAAATGTATCCTAGGTGGAGAGAAAAGGTTTGAAAGGTCAATCCCTAAATCACCCTTGAATATACGGTAAGCCAAAATTAAGTCACCTCTGCTCCTTCGGTACGATAATGGGAAGAGATTTAAATGCTCCATCCTAATATCATAAGGAAGGCGTGAGATACCACTAACTAATTCCGTTCCTGCCTTCTGTACTCTTTCCAGAACATGTACCTCCTTTCTGAAGCACGGACTCGCCACTTCTATGCAGTACTCTAGATGAGGCCTGACATATGTTGCACAGAGTACTTGGAACATACCCTCGTCTAATCGCTTCAAAGCCCTTCCAAGTGCCCAATGCATTCGAAAAGCCTTAGCTGCGGCTCGATTAGAGTTTGCCGTTGTTTTTAAGTCATGGCTAACAATAATTCCTAAGTCCTTTTCTTCCCTAACATCTGGAAGTTCTGTGTCTCCCATGGAGTACGATGTGTAAGACTTCTGACCTAGGTGCATTACTGCGCTTTTCTTGGAACTAACTTCCTGACCCCAAAGCTTAGCCCATTCGGTTTATTTGTCTAGATCGTTTTGTAGTACCAACCTATCATCGCTACCATTTACGGTTTTCCATATCTTAATATCGTCCACGAACAGTGAGGAAGATTAGGTAGGAATTTTCGGAACTTCACTTATGTATAATAGGAATAGCAGGGGATCAAGTACAGTTCCCTGAGGTACTCTCGTCTCTCCAACTCATATCATTTATAGGTACAACGTTTTCTTTCTTTCTTTTCCTCTTCTCTTTTTTTCTGTTATGCGCTGTTTTGTTTCTCTCTTACTTACAAACTCAACTTAAAACATTCTTCTTCGTTCTCTCACACTCTGTATACCTCGACCTTTTGTTACCGCTAACGCCAGTAAATATGCTAGCGTCTACTTTTCTAACACCTTCAAGCACTCTGTTCACTTTTGCTTTTGCTACCGATATGCCAATATATTGTGGTCAAAACGAACTGAGATTACCCTTAATCTAAGTAGAATTTTAATTATTGTTAATGTACCAATTGGATGCAATACTGTTATGGGAAAATTTATTTACAGTTATCTTTAAAAATATGTACGTATATCGGTCCGAGCATGACGATGTAGATGCCTGATCATCCTCCTGTGCACCAACTTCATGTAGATAATTGAATACGTGAAGAAACGCACTCCTACATATCCTCGGATGCGTCTGTTGAAGGTTTTTGATTTGATACAGTATGCCTTGTACGAGCATTTGCATGTCCAAGTCCCCGATTGTGTCCGTTGTGATTGGATGACAGTGTGATTGTAGTCTTGTAACCACCTAGTACTGTCTAAATACATCTTTTACAAATTTACTTGAGGCCTATATGAACTTACCCAGACTGGTATATATATGACATTTAGTATGAACTAGATGACGGCATGGCAATAGCACATTGCTGTTTTGAAAACATCTGCAGCTGCAGTCACGTTTGTCCACAACGGAGTTTCTGTCACCTTCGAATACCATAAATGCTTCTGTGCAACCCGTAACTTTCATTTCAGGAAGCCTCTTGATGCTTTTGTAAAGTGTATAGGCGGTATAGCTTGCTAGATGCCTCAGAATGTTGGAAAGACCTTCGTCCACCTAAAAAGATTACAGGCTACAACTATACGACTTACATCAAACTTAGTGAAGTAATGCAGATTCCGATTCTCTTCACCACCCTTCCTTCGCGATGACCCAATAGAACACTTCCAAATCTCACAAATGCTCAGTTCCAGCGGTAAGCACTTTCCCAGCTGTCTTCAAGTGCTTATGGCAGCACAGGACTCTGCTATTGGTTTCGATGACAACAACGACAATCTCTCTCAAATCAGTCTGCCCACATATTATGCGAACTCCGTAAGTTCTTCTACGATGAAAGCAGTCAATCATTATTAGTAGCACTAGTTTTCTCTCCTGTTTGTTGTAGTTTTATGAGCTATTCAATCACATCTGCCAACAAACACCTACTAATAGTGTATGTTGAAAGTAGATTTAACAATATACAAGACGAATGTTTCTGATGATCGTTTATGTCGGCAAACGCTTTTTTATACTTATATTAAGAAAGCTTTTTCACTGCTTTTTATGTTCATCAATTGATGTGTGGAGAGTAACTACTAAAAGCACTTGTGATGCCCTAATGACCGGTCGATAGGTCCATTGTGGTCAATTATAAAGTGAGTCAACGAGCGAATTGACTGATTGATGTCATCTCTGTGACTGTATTAACGGGTAGCAATAAGGACAGAAGCTACATCAACAGTTTTACGTCGATTACCTCCGACGAGTCTTGAGATAACTGTATATATACATATATATATATATGCATGTCAGGTGTCCTATGCAGTGGAAGTTAGTTACTTGTACATGGTGTTTGTATGCAGATTAAACTAGAAGTCGTAGATGCTACGTGAGGCGGTGGATTTATGGTATTGCTTAAGACCTGAGTTACATCTAGATCATTTCTAATATGAATTTTCAATAATGATTGTAGAAGTAATTCCAGGGTGTCTGTCCTATTATTATTCTGATGCTTGATTTTTGTCTTTTACATTTTCATTCTTTTAGCATGTACTATGTGCGTCGGTGGCACAGCGGTTAGCATGCTCGCCGACCATGCACATGGTCCGGGGTTCGATCCCCGACCGACTCATTCCTTTACCTCACTTAGCCAGGAGTAATGCTGGTAAAGAGGGAAGGTTGGGCATGAGGCTAGCAACTCCATCCTATGAAAATAAACACTGCAACAGAAACTTCAAGCCTCTTGCTTGAAGCCCTATATTCCACTGGGAATGTGAAGGGAATAAATAAATAAATAGCATGTACTATAGATTATGAAGCTAATGAGAGTCTTGTGAATTGGTCGTTTTGCACACGAATTCATTGTTTTCGGACATTATAAAGCAACACTAGTGGATCAGTAAAGATCAGACCTGTCTGGGGTATTTTGCCTAGTTGGCATGTTACGCTGAGTCAAATACCTCAAGAAAATTGGGTTGGTTTAGTTGTCAGATCTATTCACCTTGAAGATAACGGTCCTGGTGTGTTTCCGATTTTAGAAGTGTGTTTAGAAACTCCTGTAAGTTGTTATGTGACGCGGTATTTAGCTTCGAAACTTTGTAACACCAAAAGTGTTGGAGAAGTACCAGCAGTGACCTACTTAGATTTCTACAGAACGAAGTGTCTCCTGATGAGAAGCCTACCCATTAATATATATCGATGGGTAGGCTTCTCATCAGGAGACACTTCGTTCTGTAGAAATCTAAGTAGGTCACTGCTGGTACTTCTCCAACACTTTTGGTGTTACAAAGTTTCGAAGCTAAATACCGCGTCACATAACAACTTACAGGAGTTTCTAAACACACTTCTAAAATCGGAAACACACCAGGACCGTTATCTTCAAGGTGAATAGATCTGACAACTAAACCAACCCAATTTTCTTGAGGTATTTGACTCAGCGTAACATGCCAACTAGGCAAAATACCCCAGACAGGTCTGATCTTTACTGATCCACTAGTGTTGCTTTATAATGTCCGAAAACAATGAATTCGTGTGCAAAACGACCAATTCACAAGACTCTCATTAGCTTCATAATCTATAGTACATGCTATTTATTTATTTATTCCCTTCACATTCCCAGTGGAATATAGGGCTTCAAGCAAGAGGCTTGAATTTTCTGTTGCAGTGTTTATTTTCATAGGATGGAGTTGCTAGCCTCATGCCCAACCTTCCCTCTTTACCAGCATTACTCCTGGCTAAGTGAGGTAAAGGAATGAGTCGGTCGGGGATCGAACCCCGGACCATGTGCATGGTCGGCGAGCATGCTAACCGCTGTGCCACCGACGCACATAGTACATGCTAAAAGAATGAAAATGTAAAAGACAAAAATCAAGCATCAGAATAATAATAGGACAGACACCCTGGAATTACTTCTACAATCATTATTGAAAATTCATATTAGAAATGATCTAGATGTAACTCAGGTCTTAAGCAATACCATAAATCCACCGCCTCACGTAGCATCTACGACTTCTAGTTTAATCTGCATACAAACACCATGTACAAGTAACTAACTTCCACTGCATAGGACACCTGACATGCATATATATATATATGTATATATACAGTTATCTCAAGACTCGTCGGAGGTAATCGACGTAAAACTGTTGATGTAGCTTCTGTCCTTATTGCTACCCGTTAATACAGTCACAGAGATGACATCAATCAGTCAATTCGCTCGTTGACTCACTTTATAATTGACCACAATGGACCTATCGACCGGTCATTAGGGCATCACAAGTGCTTTTAGTAGTTACTCTCCACACATCAATTGATGAACATAAAAAGCAGTGAAAAAGCTTTCTTAATATAAGTATAAAAAAGCGTTTGCCGACATAAACGATCATCAGAAACATTCGTCTTGTATATTGTTAAATCTACTTTCAACATACACTATTAGTAGGTGTTTGTTGGCAGATGTGATTGAATAGCTCATAAAACTACAACAAACAGGAGAGAAAACTAGTGCTACTAATAATGATTGACTGCTTTCATCGTAGAAGAACTTACGGAGTTCGCATAATATGTGGGCAGACTGATTTGAGAGAGATTGTCGTTGTTGTCATCGAAACCAATAGCAGAGTCCTGTGCTGCCATAAGCACTTGAAGACAGCTGGGAAAGTGCTTACCGCTGGAACTGAGCATTTGTGAGATTTGGAAGTGTTCTATTGGGTCATCGCGAAGGAAGGGTGGTGAAGAGAATCGGAATCTGCATTACTTCACTAAGTTTGATGTAAGTCGTATAGTTGTAGCCTGTAATCTTTTTAGGTGGACGAAGGTCTTTCCAACATTCTGAGGCATCTAGCAAGCTATACCGCCTATACACTTTACAAAAGCATCAAGAGGCTTCCTGAAATGAAAGTTACGGGTTGCACAGAAGCATTTATGGTATTCGAAGGTGACAGAAACTCCGTTGTGGACAAACGTGACTGCAGCTGCAGATGTTTTCAAAACAGCAATGTGCTATTGCCATGCCGTCATCTAGTTCATACTAAATGTCATATATATACCAGTCTGGGTAAGTTCATATAGGCCTCAAGTAAATTTGTAAAAGATGTATTTAGACAGTACTAGGTGGTTACAAGACTACAATCACACTGTCATCCAATCACAACGGACACAATCGGGGACTTGGACATGCAAATGCTCGTACAAGGCATACTGTATCAAATCAAAAACCTTCAACAGACGCATCCGAGGATATGTAGGAGTGCGTTTCTTCACGTATTCAATTATCTACATGAAGTTGGTGCACAGGAGGATGATCAGGCATCTACATCGTCATGCTCGGACCGATATACGTACATATTTTTAAAGATAACTGTAAATAAATTTTCCCATAACAGTATTGCATCCAATTGGTACATTAACAATAATTAAAATTCTACTTAGATTAAGGGTAATCTCAGTTCGTTTTGACCACAATATATTGGCATATCGGTAGCAAAAGCAAAAGTGAACAGAGTGCTTGAAGGTGTTAGAAAAGTAGACGCTAGCATATTTACTGGCGTTAGCGGTAACAAAAGGTCGAGGTATACAGAGTGTGAGAGAACGAAGAAGAATGTTTTAAGTTGAGTTTGTAAGTAAGAGAGAAACAAAACAGCGCATAACAGAAAAAAAGAGAAGAGGAAAAGAAAGAAAGAAAACGTTGTACCTATAAATGATATGAGTTGGAGAGACGAGAGTACCTCAGGGAACTGTACTTGATCCCCTGCTATTCCTATTATACATAAGTGAAGTTCCGAAAATTCCTACCTAATCTTCCTCACTGTTCGTGGACGATATTAAGATATGGAAAACCGTAAATGGTAGCGATGATAGGTTGGTACTACAAAACGATCTAGACAAATAAACCGAATGGGCTAAGCTTTGGGGTCAGGAAGTTAGTTCCAAGAAAAGCGCAGTAATGCACCTAGGTCAGAAGTCTTACACATCGTACTCCATGGGAGACACAGAACTTCCAGATGTTAGGGAAGAAAAGGACTTAGGAATTATTGTTAGCCATGACTTAAAAACAACGGCAAACTCTAATCGAGCCGCAGCTAAGGCTTTTCGAATGCATTGGGCACTTGGAAGGGCTTTGAAGCGATCAGACGAGGGTATGTTCCAAGTACTCTGTGCAACATATGTCAGGCCTCATCTAGAGTACTGCATAGAAGTGGCGAGTCCGTGCTTCAGAAAGGAGGTACATGTTCTGGAAAGAGTACAGAAGGCAGGAACGGAATTAGTTAGTGGTATCTCACGCCTTCCTTATGATATTAGGATGGAGCATTTAAATCTCTTCCCATTATCGTACCGAAGGAGCAGAGGTGACTTAATTTTGGCTTACCGTATATTCAAGGGTGATTTAGGGATTGACCTTTCAAACCTTTTCTCTCCACCTAGGATACATTTACGGGGTCACCAGAAGAAGGTGCTCAAACCGAGGTCGAATAAAATACGGTTGGAGTTTAGATTCTCTCACAGAGTGGTCAACGACTGGAACTCCTTACTTGATTCCATAGTAACAGCTCCACTGGTGAACGATTTCAAAGAGAAACTGGATCTCTGCAGAGATATCAATCGCGAGGATTAACATAGGCAACAAGAGCCTTCTATCCCTATAATCTGTAACTGATTATTGACTAACTTGATGTACACCCCCACCACTTTAGATTTCCGATCCAGATTTGTTGATTGAGGATAGAGGGCTTAGAGCCTATGTCAGTCTCTTTCTAGTAAATTTCTTTGCTTGTCCAAACGCTGCATATACCACCTCTTTTGAGAGCCGATTCCAGGAGTGTGTGACTCGGTGTGATAACCAGTACTCCACAGTAATATGGTTTCTTCTTGGCTTCTGAACTCTCCTGCTATTTCCTCTTAGGTGTTCCGACCTGGTGGGAAGGGAAAGAGAGAATAGGTCAGGTTCGTAGTCATTATTTAAAATTTTAAACATTGTAACTAAATCTCCTCTCTGCCTGCTGTATGACAGGGACGACGAGATTTAGACTGTATAGTCTTTCCTCGTATGATAATTTAGTCACGCTGAAGAAAATACATGTTGCCTTTCTTTCCAAAACATGTGGGTCCTTCTGGGATTTCCACGAAGAAGCCCATACCTAGTCAATGGCAGAACACCTTTGTTTGGGTGATTCAGGTCATTTGTTATCTTTTCGTCAGTAATCAAGTCCCACTTGAGCCGACGGTACCTAAGTGAGAATAGGCCTAATTTCTTTAGCCGTCCATCATACAGTTTGTTTCGGAGACCCATCACCCCTCTTATCACCCGTCTTTGGACTCTTTCAAAAAGGTTCGTGTCATTTCTAAGCAACGGGGGGGGAATGAAATTGTGTACTTTAAGGTATGGTCTGGCGTATGTTTTGCACAACCTTAGAAAGAGCTCAGTAGTGAGTGCACCTAACTGTCTATGTGTAAAGTGCATGACCACATATGTCCTCGCTACATCCCCCGTGTAATTTACACTTGTGTCCATTTTTCCGTTAGAACTAGACCTAAGTCACGCTCCGACGTTGTGCAGGAAAAGTTTTCGTTGCACAGGGTGTAACTTACATTCTGCAGCCTACTTTTTAAGGTTGAAAGTCATGCCACTGGCCACCGCCCAGTCTTCCAGAAGCTCTGGGTCTGCCTGTAGTCTATCTGAGTCTTCCGAACACTTTATTGCTCTCCAAATCTTTGCGTTATCAGTGTGAAGAAGAGTCAGGCAGCTTAGACGGCCTGATAGGTCATTGGTAGAAATCAAAACCACCAGTGGCTTTAGGGTAGAGCATTGCACACTTCTCATGATGAGCTAAGCCAGGATGATCGGACTTAATTACGTTAGGGAAAAATTTCTTTTCAGCTAGGTAGTCTTTCAACCATGACAGAAGTGGCTCACCTTTTATTTATTTATTTTTTATTTAAACGCATAAAAACTTGGTATAATATGGCACCTAGAAGGATGCATCACACAATAATAATAAAACAACACAGATCATAAGAAAAAAAAGAAAGAAGAGAAATATATATATATATGTATATGTACATAAGTAGAGAACGGATAAAGAACCTCTTCTGGAAGGAAAACAGTCATGCTTAACAAGTTCAAACAGTATTCGTTAACTATCATCGGGAAGGGAAGAAAGAAGGAATTTGCAACACGTGTAATAGCACGCGATAAGTTTCATTGATTGTTTGTTGCTTCATTCAATTCACCTATACCTGCCTGACTTATTTTGTGTAGGAGAAGGTCATGGTGAACTGTGTCCAATGCCTTCTCGAAGTCTAGGAAGACCACATGGATTGGAATATTCATATCCCAACATGTTGTCCAATCGTTCCAAGCTGATAGTAGGTTTATTAAACAGGATATGCCTTTCCTCAAACCATGTTGTGCTTCATGGAGTCCACTGGTCCCATCGAGGTGCTCCCTGATGTGATCACCAATTATACTTTCCAGTACTTTTTATACCACTGGGAGTAGCACTACTAGTCTGTAACTGGTGGCATTTCGCCTGTCCCCGCCCTTGAAAATAGGAGGAAGGGTGGCTGTTTTCCACTCCCTTGGCAGTTTCCCCGAATCCATCGAATGTTGGAACAAGTCTCATCAGGGCCTACAGAGAGCTTCGGTGCACTGTTTCCGAACAGATGGCTTGAAATCGTCACAATTTGGGGACTTTCCAGATGGGAGTCTGTGTAGCTTCCCTAGTATTATTGCCAGTTTTGTTTGGAGAGTAACCACTAAGTTTTCCTCCGGTGAAGTAGTAGTGCCTCCATTTCGGTCCGTACCAGTAATACCCATACTGCTGTTTAACTGTTTGGCGAAGGCTAAACTGAATGTTTCAGCCATCTCCAGACTAGTGAGGTATTGACCGTTTGGGCCTACTAAGACGCATGCCCGCCGTGTTGTTTGGTTTACTCTCTGACATGAATCGGTACAGGCTTTCGGGGTTCTCCAGGAGGTTCTCGGCAAGGTTAACCGGGAATGACCTCTCGTCATTCCTGACTCTTGTGTTGCAGTGGTTCCTGAGTCGCAGATATGTATTGCGGTCAGTCTGACTATTGGATATTCGCCACGTATACCAAGCCTTCTGCTTTGCTTGTAGAATTTATTGCATACCTCTCTTCAGCCCTGAGGACCGACCATTTTCTCAGCTGTGTTGTGACTACAGGGACTGTATCCGAGATTGATGTATGAATAATCTCTTTCACCACTTCCCAGTGTTCATCCACAGATAACTCATGCCATTCTGTGGAAAATTCTGCGTCGTACAAAAGCCTCCGCATTTCAGCATAGCCCGTCTTGTTATAGCTCAGACATGGTCGCTAGGCTTCCCACTGTAAGTTCTCATGGAGAACAATTTCGAATCCTATGACTGAATGGTCACTACTTCCTAGTGGGGTCATTATTTGGACCTTTTCGACAACTAGTTGGTCACTAGTTAGAATATGATCTAGTTTCTACGGCTTTCAACCAGGGCCCCAACTAGCGTCGTCTCCAACATTCTCAGTCAGTCCTGTATTTCCTGTGGTTTGAAGTAGATTCTTGATATGTATCCATATATATGTATGGTGGTCTCTCTTTCTGTTGCTCTCTTAGTCTGTGACCATTTCACTTTGATGAACCTGTCTCCTTTAACAATGCATATTCCCCTTATATTATATTCAATATGTGTGTTTGTTGACATGTCTGCTATATTTTGCTATGTATATACGGATCGATACTCCATTATAATTAGCCAATCATGTTAAGACTGTCTATTGATTGTTCACACACTTGTTCGGACATTCATATATATTTTCGCTCGCACACTCTTGTGTGATTTGATTCTCCTTGTGTTCGGAAAATAGAAGTATCATCGCAAACCTAGTGGTCTTCTGATTTCCGTCTTTCTTGCGTCAGGACTATTAAATTCTCGACCAGTACATAATAATAATTTGGCGACGAGTACATAACAATGCTGACCGAGCGTTTCCTGAGCATACTCCGAGTCAAGGTTCAGGGATGATGCATTGAAATCTCCAGCTACAGTGGTTTGGCCATAGTCCAAGTCCCGTATCCCTGTGATGGTGCTGAGCAGTAGCCGATTCCGATGGAACCGGTTTGTTGTCGTTTTTTCCTTGA